GGGTGAATCTGAGTGAAACAGGTTGTGGAGAGGAGAAAGTGAAAGTAAATAAGAACAAACCAACATATATTGTCATATTCTCTGAGATATTATCATTATTAAAAATATAAACATGTTTTTAAACAAACGTAGAAAGAGCTACGTTTTAGTAATTATTAAATTAGAAGAGAGAAACCTGTTTTAAAGGTTATAAAGTCAACATAAAAGCTGGTGTTTGACTTTTACAGTTTATCAATAAAAACATACTGATGTTTGACAGACCATAACATTTCACTGAGTCAAATCTATAACAGTGAACCTTTAATATTTGATACTGAGAGTGAAATCATCAGAATCCTGTTGAGCTCAGATATCAGAGGAGACTCCACTCTCTTTAACAGTTTAGTTAGTTAGTTAATTAGTTAACTTGACTTGTGTTGTTTTGACTCCAGACTGTTTAAAGAAGAGACATTAAACTCCACTGTTGATGTTCAGATCTCTGGAGTTCTTCTTCATGAACCTCACGAACTGTTTTTACCTTTCTCTTTGATTCACTACACTTCTATTTGACAAGTTTGATACACAAGCTGTAGTTGCACAGAGTGAACAGCAGGTGTCCCCAAACTCCCCGTGCCACAAACCTGTTTTATTTTCACAACTGTTTTAGAAAAGTATCCTTGTTGTGTTGAGTGTTTTTAGGAGTATAAACAACAAAATGAAAAAAATTGGTTGTTTCCACCTGGTTATATTATTGAATTATTTGACTAATGTCATCGATTAAAAGAAATTCAAGTTATATTTGTAACTGGTTTGTTTTTAGAAATATATTGAATAAATTTACCATAAATTTTGTTTTAAGGTGTTATTCTCTGTAAATTAGCTTAAATAAAAACTATATTTTTCATTTATTTTTTATGAGTAGATTTGATACAACAACAACCGACCTCAAAACAAATACATTTATAAAAATACAACTCACCATGAACTGAACATCAAACCTACATCCGTTCATTTTTAAGTACTTCTCCAAATGTGTTTGTTTATTTACTCGTTTAGTTCGAGGTTTTATCATGAACAATCACATTGAGTCACAGTAGTACTCACTAAAGAACAAAAAAAAAAAAAAAAACACTGTTCAGACTAATAATCAATTATACTCAGTTCTTGGTGACCTCTAGGGTTTCTTGGTGTTTGAAGGAACTCTCAACACGACACGAAGAACTACAGGTGTTTGACAAAAGAGCGAGGATTTAATAACAGTGTTGTAGAAGTACAAAAGTAAGACAACCATTTTATCAACCTGTCACGTAATAAGTATTTTAAAGATCGCTGTTTAATTTGAAGTAAACAAAGCTGATTCTCAACACGGTCCCTGAACGCAGCAAGTAAAAACACACCATTAAAAAAAACTACCCACAATATCAAATAAAACAATTACTTTAATATTAATTAGTGTGAACGGTATTCATCAAAGTTCGTCTTGTTTGGGCAGAAGTTAAAGATACACTGTGCCTTTAAGAGCGCTCACATGACATCACTGTTTGTTATACTTCCGGGTTAATGTCCGTAACGTCAGATACTATTAAACATTTCAATGTCGTACCAGCGACATTTAACGAAACATATTCGTGGTTAACTTAATCAAATATGCATTTGTGAATTTGAGGCACATTGTATTCAACGGACAGAAAAAATAGACACCTTATGTCGTAATTAGGATGTCATGATTGTTATTTTCTATTAATTATGAGAAACGATGTCGTAATTACGAGATAAGGTGTCTAATTATTTTTTATCCAGTGAGTTAAAATGCCTTTCCGTGTGAACTTGACCTGTTTCTGGATTATTTTTACGTCTGTTACAGTTTATGGATCACTTCGAGCTACTGTCAACATTGGCTAACTCAGTTAGATTTTCATTTTATATATATTTTTAAATTCACATTATTAGTTTTTGTCTTTTTTTGGTAACACGTAACTGCATCTGAGCTACGTTTCAAACAACTGCCTTGTTTTATAGACTCTTTGCTGTCGTTGAGATTAACCTTCGTTAATACACTGGTTTAATGGTTACTGGTCAGACCTTCATATATTTACAGTGAATTCTGCAGCTTTCTTCAGAAGCAAAGTTGAAGATATTTATCTACATTGAAGCTCACACTCATCTCACACATGATCAGATCATGTTGGTTGGTTTTCAGACATTTCCAGGAGTTGTGTTTCTTCAGGGTCACCTTTGAGCTGCTGCTCCTCAGAGCTGCTCACAGCTGTGGACACACACACACACACAGATGTCAGAGTGTTGGTCATTTTAACTTGTGCGTAAATATGATGTAAAAATATCAGTTAGAATTCAGAGTGAACTCTTCAGAGACAGAGGCAAACAAGTTATAATCCTATAAAATATTTTAAAAAATGTTGAACAGGAGTTTAGTTTTAATAATCCTATAAAATATTTCTAAAAATGTTGAACAGGAGTTTAGTTTTAAATTTTAATTGAAAATGTTTCCTCCTAAATGTTTGGTGAATATTCTGCTCTAATTCTCTGTTCTGTTTTATGTTTTTATTTCACACACGTTTGTGAAAAGTACGAGTTGAAACAAACAAAAAATGTTCATTTCAGCCCAGTCTGACAAACTACACAATACTGACAAGAAATGAAGTCGGAGCAAACAAATAATATGTCCCTGAGTCCAGAAAAATGTTGTTTCAGATCCAGCAACACAACGACAACAATTTGTTAGTTTCACTTTTGTCGTCGTGAAATGTTTTGTTTTAGTTTTATTTAATGTGTCACGAACTGGACCGAACTGGAACATGAAAACACAGTTAGACATTTTACAATAACAAGCACATTTTACACAAGTTCAAAGAAAGTCAAGTCAAAGTCAATCAAAGAAAGTGTTTTATTCCGTTGTGTAAATTAACTTCATTATGAATAATAATCATAATAACAAATATTATTATTATTATAAGTATTATTATTAGTTATTTTTGCAGTTTAGTGCGGCATTTATTTTTTATAATGGCCAGCAGGTGGCGACATCCTACAACTAATTGCTGCTGTGTGACGTGCGGTCGTCGCCTTTCACTGAATCTTCATATTTTAGTCTTTACATCTCAGTAAAAGGGCTTTATTTTAACCTTTACGCCAACAAATATGAAGCCAAATATTCTTTTTACTGAAACGTGACTAAAGGTTAGTATAATGGTAGCACAAACCGAAGCATTAGCTAATCTTTTTACTGAAACGCGACTAAAGGTTAGTATAGTGGTAGCACAAACCGAAGCATTAGCTAACGCAGTGTTTTAAGTGAGTACACGCGTATTTGACGACGGCTAACAATACTTCAAGGTATACAAGACGTTAGATAACTGCGTCTCACAGCAGAGGGACCAGAGTCTGGAGGATGAAAACACGCCGTAACCAAATCCACTCCAGCGGGATTAGGTCATAATCTGAGATTTACCAGAGTCGATGTGTTCGGCCGTGGATCATTGAGGAGGGTGGGTTGGAGGAGTGGGGGGTGACGATGACTCACAGGAGCCTGACTCTGATGTCATCCACTGACCCCTCCCCTCAGTTCTCCCTCTCCTCCACATGGAGCCTCTGTCTTCAGACTCTGTCTTGTTCCTTGTGGTCGTCACAATGTCACCCACTTCTATAACTTCCTGTTTCCGGTCCTCCTCCACCAGCCGTCGAGTTCATCAACACTTCTCCACATTCTTCAACCCTCTCTCGGTCTCCCACTCCTTGTGATTTGCGTTAGTTTAATGAGAGAAATGTTAGTGACAGTGATGGTGGGAGCGACCTGGAGCACAAACCTGGACCAAAAGTCACCAAAAAGACTGAACAGTGAACATGCTAAGATAAAAACCAGCTTCAAGAATGATCACCGTCGAGCTAACAACAGTCAAATGTTATGCACGAACACTAAGCCAAGCAAGTGGCAGATACTACAGTCGGTCAAACGGTCCTACCGTGACAGCTGACGTCATCTATTTCTACAGGTCGGACCTTTAAACGCCAATAAATGAGCAGATGATTTTGAAATGGTTATAATCCACGGTTTAATGTCACGTTATTTCACGGTGTGTGTCCTGTAACAACTGCACAACACTGTAGACAAGAGGACTCGAACCGTGACGTGTTTCACTACGGTTCAAATACAAGAATGACTGAGCAAATACACGCGCCCCTCATCCTCCCCGCCCCCACCCGAAGTGGACCATCATAACGTTCCGGGATCGGCTGCGTCGCCTCTCCCAAACTGCGCACGCGCAAATACTGCGATAAAAAAAGATTGAGGATTGAGTTGGACTGCGGTCACCGTGGTTCTGTGTGAATGGAGACAAACGGGAATAGAATTTAAACACGTCATCTGAGGACCTGAGGGTTAACGCTGCGTTTAAACGTTAGTTTGAAGAGAAGAAGACTGAAGACAGAAAAGAAATGCCAGAAATAGTATTGGTCACGTGACGCCGACTGGCCAACCGCAGCAACGGGGGACGCGGACGCTTTACTCTTTGTTCGGATATTTTTCTGACTTTTTCTACAAATCCGGTCTTAAAATGCGCCCAAACCACATCGTCAGAACAAGATGACGGCTACCGTAATTAACCACGATATATTTGGTGACACCGTGAAATGCGACGTAGTTGGAGAATGATGGAGAAGCACTTTTTGGGCGGAATTTAGTCACATGACTCCCCTCCCCCACTGCGCGCATGAATTGGGAAAGAAGGCGGACATGTTGGAGGGAAATTGGTGCTCAAAGAGCATCGAGGTGAAAGACAAGAAGATTATTCGAAGAAAAAAAACAGCCACACTTTTTGGAATTTACCTTTTTGTATTTTTCATTTAGAAATTTAAATGTTTTTACAGGTTTTTTTCACTTTTGGTTAAAAGTTGAAACTTTTTCAACGACGTCACACTTATGTTGTTTCTCTCTCTGTGTGTTTTAACATGTTGTACTGTAAATGGTCGAGTTGTTTGTTCGGTTGTTCCACTGAGTGACATTGCAGAGCGTTAACTTCGGTGTGGGGGATGGGCGCCTGTGATTAGGTAACCCCTTTGTCTACCAACGTGTTTGTTGGGTTTATCTGGTTGTTTTGCTTTCCTTTCACCGTATGAACCAGTTGCCGTGACATTTATTTACAGTAATTGTGAGAAATTGTCAATCAATGGATTACGATCAACCACAGATATTTAGTGCGAGGTTGGATCATGAACTGACGTCTGTTAAAATCAAAGTTATTTCCGCCTTAATCGGTTTTTGACGTCGCTGCCTCGTGTGTATGGACTTCGACAAACTAGCTGTTTGACTGCAGTCATCGGTAAAAATGCTGTCACTTGTGGAGTCCGTGAGGTTGATCTAAGACGACTTCGTTTCAAAAGGGTTAGTACTGTAGTCCACTACCCAGCTGCCGAGTGTTCAGTTTCTTCTAACGCTTTATTTTTGTTCAATTGTGTTATTTTGTGAGATATGCGTATATAACTCATTAGTGAAATCGGATTAAATGTCCTAGTTTTCGTCAAAAGTTGTGGTTATCTTAACTAATCGCTATTTCTTTACATCTGACGTGGTCTTTACACTTATTTCGACAGCAGTTGTTATTTTCATGGGATCTAAAGATGGCGACCTAACCCTGTTGTTCAGAAAGAAATGCGGATATTCTGGTTAGAGGAGAGTTCGTGGGCTGCGCGTGATCTGAGGCAAGACCAATCAGATTGTTGTTGTTCGATGTGGAAGCCCGCGTTTCGACTTCTTCAACCTATCGATGACTTTGCTTTGCACACGTTTACGTATTGTAACATGAGAAGGGGAGGGACTTGCGGTTCCCTTTCATTTTGGAAACTGTCGAATGAGCTCTTTGCAGACAGTAACGTATCCTTTGTGTCGCAGCGACTGGACCAATAGCGTCGCTCGTTTAGCTTGACAGACAGGCGATGCTTGCAAATAGGTCGGGCCGAGAGGCTTTCCCTGCCACTGTCCGTTTCAGGGGCGTGGTGAGTTTGATTGACCTTCGGAGCACCCAATAGAAGCCGAATGGGCGTGCACTTTGCAAGGCGTTCCTCCAATAAAGCAAACAGTCTGTCTATAAAATGACGGGTGTATCCGCTGCGTCGCCATTTCAGCGAGGCGAAGGAAGGGGTTCTTGTTGAGGAGGTGAACAGCGAGCCCGAAGACCAGAGACGGATCCCGGTCTGGGTCTAAACTCTAAATGCAATCCGGTTCCATCCTGATGGAAATGGCCGTTAACCCACCCCTTGACAGGTATCTACCGGTAAAATTGACTCTCACCTTTACGCGAAAGGGAATATTTATCAAAAAAGTGTGAATTATCTTTTTTCCCCCGAATGTCCTCGCGTAAAATATCTTTCCCGTATTTGAAGTGGATTACGGATTAACAAGTTTCCACCAGGAGAAGTTTATCCTTTGATAACATTGGAATACATAATATTTAACAAGGCAGCGGCTATTGTGCCGAGCTACTGGCGGCTGTGGCCGTTTTGCGCCATCTTCGCGGTGCCTCAGCCGCTCTGGTCGCTCTCTCCCGCTGGTTGTTGGTATTAGCAGTGTTAGCATTAGCATCACGCATCGTACAATGAACTGCCGCTTATGTTTCGCCTCTGGCGGCTGTATGAACTAACATATACGGTTCTTCTGTGGTGGGAGAAGACGCATCCAGATTTATGGCCATTTTTTAAAATTTTGTTAAGCGGTGTCATTGCCGGTAAAAGGAAATCACTCTCTATTGAGTTGTTTATTAGCCAAACGGGCCGCAAACGCATCGTTGTGTCGTCATGAATGTGTGTGTTTGTATAACGGAAGGATAGTTTGTTGTTGTGGCTCCTGTTGGGTTCTCAGCGCGTGGCGGGTGTTTGGCTCAGTTGCCTGGTTACAGTTCTCAGTGTCACATGGAACAACTAGCAGGGCCATGGCCCATACCCTACTGACTGAATGTAATGACTGTAGCACAGATTGTTGTCATATTTATTTCTAACGTTGTTAGTCGTTAATTGTAATGTACATGGACATTTTCCTCCATTTTCTTAAACAATAAAGTACACTAACTCTCATATCGTTTTCCACAGTTGTATCATTCAGTGTTTGTTTTACTTTTTGTACACAGATATGTGTTAATTAAACTCTCAATACAAACAATGTTTACCACTCTTAACTGCAGTGTGTCTCTAGTACTTTCATTATAAAAATACCCACTGATAATTTAACATGTTTCTGACCATTTGATCTAAACGTAAGGTGAACGTGATAAACAGAAAGTTATAATTGAATGGATGTGAGTTACAGTAAATAAAGACACATCTGTCAAAGAGAAAGGTAAGTCAGGTCGTCTCAGGTCCACAATTAATTCATAAATGAACTGTTTCCCCACATGAGTGTGTGTTCTGGACAAACAGTTGATCAGTCAACACCTGCAGTACTCTGGGTGTTGTCATGGTGAACCTTTACATTATTTGGTCCAATAGTAAAGCAACGTTACACGTTTAATTACACGTCATAGTAATAATTACATTTTTAACGTCAGGATTTCTGTTGTTCAGGTTTGAGACATTTTCTGTGGAAAAAGTAAAAAAAAATCCAGGATTTCTGATATGATATTATTCATTTTATAGATATAAGATTACTGTAACAAGGCAACATAAGCTCCGCCCATGAGCCTGGGGGATGTGGGTGGAGTTGTCATCTGACTTAGAGACAGGAGGAAGTGGATGGAGGGCTGTCCTCTCAGCTGTGAGTTAGCTCCGGTGCAGGAGGAGAACAGAGGAGTCAAGATAGGGCTGTGGTCCCTTCACAGGGTTTTTACGAGGGTCAGAGGAGGTTTTTTGGTTCTCGCCTACTAGTGTCGGATTGTAGGAACGCGTTGTCATGATTTCCATCTGACAGACTGATGACATCATTAACCTGTGACTGTGTTTGTAGCAGTCTGCCCTGTTTTGTTGTTTATTTCAATAACTATTTATTTCCTAAAACGTGAAGTTTTATTCCTTCAACAATGACAGTCCTTTCTGTGTCTGCTGGGATAAAAGTGGTCACCTGTTCACTGTTGCTCTGTGCAGCTCTCTCATTGGAGTTGACATTAGTATAATGGGCGTGTCAGCGATGGACCAGAACTCCAGCATGGCCGGAAAACGCATTCGAAAGCCGTCCCTGCTCTACGAAGGCTTTGAGAGTCCAGGCATGCCCCCCGTCAGCCACATCACCCCCACGGGACCCCCGCAGCCCCCGGTGAAAGACCCCACCCGCCAGTGGAGGATGACGAATCAACTTCAGTTCCTACAGAAGGTCCTCCTCAAGTCCCTGTGGAGGCACCACTTCGCCTGGCCCTTCCACGAACCCGTGGACGCAGCGAAGCTCAACCTGCCTGTAAGAAGCCAGCAGTGGTGGGCGGGGACACACGGCGGGGACTGACACTTAACGCTGTCTCTGTCTCCCTGCAGGACTATCACAAAATCATCAAAACCCCAATGGACATGGGGACGATAAAGAAGAGACTGGAGAACAACTACTACCGCACGGCCAGCGAGTGCATGCAGGACTTCAACACCATGTTCACCAACTGCTACATTTACAACAAGGTAAGAAACGACTGGTGCTGTGTCAGAGAGAGTTAAAAAAAAGTTCACACAAGGACCACTTGGGGCACTGTTGTTTGGCCAAGATATAATATATATATATATATATATATTATCGACAAGATTGTTTTGCCTGCTGTCCCCAGCCCTGACCTCTGACCTCTGCCCTGTAGCCCACAGATGACATCGTCCTCATGGCTCAGTCCTTGGAGAAAGCCTTCCTGCAGAAAGTGGCTCAGATGCCACAAGAGGAGCTGGAGCTCTCCCCCCCGCCCCTGCGGAGTAAACCCACCAAGACCGGTCGAAAAGGCCGAGGGAGTGCAGGTGAGCAAGGCACCAGGTCAGCAGTGTACCAGGTGCAGACTTGTTGTCTACGTATCAGTGGTAAGACTGACTTGTTTTGTGTGGGGCAGTCTCTGGGGGAGTGACCACAGCCCACCAGGTTCCTGCCGTCTCCCAGTCAGCATACTCGCCTCCCACTCCAGAAACCCCCGACTCCATCGTCTCCACCCCCCCACAAACTCTCATCAGCAAGAGTCTACACACCCTGCTTCCTCCTGCGCACAACCTCCCGACCATCACCGGTCTGCCCCCCACCCAGCCCACTGCTAAGGTAAAGACCAAAACCAGATGTACTGTATTAACCTTTCAAATATATTCTCTGGTATAAATATATATAAACATATATAAACATGTACTCTGGTCTGTCCATCGCAGAAAAAAGGTGTGAAGAGAAAGGCTGACACCACCACCCCCACCACAGTGGCCATGCCCATCATGAACACCATGGGGGTCAGCGGCATCAGCCTGGGGCTGGGTGACGGCCGGAACTCCCCGCTCACATTGACCTCCCTCGGCATGGACCACGGCTCCGGCCTCCCTCTGAACCAGGGACTGGGTCTTGGCCTCGGACTGGGGATGGATATTGGGATGGGCGTGGGCCGTGGGGGGGTCATGATGGAGACCAAGGCGACGGCGAATAGCAGGAGGGGGGTGAGCGGCCGTCCCATTAAGCCCCCGAAGAAGGACCTGCCGGACACCATGCTCCCCACGCCGGTGCGCCGCAGTAAGCTGAGCCCCCAGCTGCGTTACTGCAGCAGCGTGCTGAAGGAGCTGCTGTCCAAGAAACACGCCGCGTACGCCTGGCCCTTCTACAAACCCGTGGACGCCACCACACTTGGTCTCCACGACTACCACGACATCATCAAGCAGCCCATGGACCTCAGCACCATCAAGGTGGGTGGAGGACGAATGCCGTCTGTCAGCGCTGTGGTCAGAAGTCGGTTCAGCCCCCCCAGTGTAGCTGTAGTCCCAGTGTGATCCTAGTCTCAGACTTTTGTCGGTGTGTTCAGATTGTGACGTTCTCTCCTCCTCAGAGAAAGATGGACAGCAGAGAGTACCGTGAGGCCCAGCAGTTCTCTGCTGACGTCAGACTGATGTTCTCCAACTGCTACAAGTACAACCCTCCAGATCACGATGTCGTTTCCATGGCACGAAAACTCCAGGTATTTATTTATTTTTAAATCCTTTTTTTCTAGTCCTTGCTCCACTGTTTCACGTCTCTTTGTCCTAAAACTCTGTCCTTTTCACTCCTTCCGTCTCAGGATGTCTTCGAGTTTTGCTTTGCAAAGATGCCAGACGAGCCTCCGGCCCCGCCCAGCTCCTCCTCGTCGTCTTCCTCCTCATCGTCCTCCTCGGAGAGCGAGCTCAGCAGTGAGAGCGAGGACAGCGACAGCAGCCGCAGCTCCGACTCTGAGGAGGAGCGGGCCAACCGACTGGCAGAACTGCAGGAACAGGTTTGTTCTCTGACCCAGACTCAGGGTCCAGACAGGGGGCGCTCCTCGACTCCGCTCTCACTCTGGTCTGTCTCTGCAGCTGAAGGCTGTGCACGAGCAGCTGACGGCGCTCTCCCAGGGCCCCATCATCAAACCCAAGAAGAAGAAGGAGAAGAAGGACAAGAAGAAGAAGAAGAAGGTGGAGAAGGAGAAGGAAAAGGAGAAGGAAAAGGAGAAGCACCTTCGGATGGAGGAGGATCTGCTGCCCCCCCCCAAACCTGTCAAGACCCCCAAGGTCATCAAGACCCCAAAGACCAAGAGCAGCCGGCCAGCAGTGGGCGCTCCCGTCAATCCAGTGAAGAAGGCGCCCAGCAAGAAAAACAAGAGCAAGTGAGTGCTGCCACCCAGTGGAAGTTGTTGGGACTGTTAACGCAGTTTGCTGCAGAATCTGAGAGAAAATGTTTTGATGTTTCTTTAGTCGAGTCATCAGAACAGAACAGAACGGTCTGATTCTCCACAAACTGAACCTTTGTCTTTTTCACCTCTGCTCCAGAACCAAAAAGCCCAGTATGATTTTCAGCGCTCCGGTTCCTGACCACAGTCTGGTCGTCGGCCACTTCGACTCTGAGGAAGAGGAGGAGACGGCGCCCATGTCCTACGACGAGAAGCGTCAGCTCAGCCTGGACATCAACAAGCTGCCCGGGGAGAAGCTGGGCCGCGTCGTCTACATCATCCAATCACGTGAGCCCTCGCTCAGAGACACCAACCCAGAGGAGATAGAGATCGACTTCGAGACCTTGAAGCCGTCCACGCTGCGCGAGCTGGAAAGATACGTCATGACGTGTCTGCGGAAAAAGCCCAGAAAGCCTTACAGTGAGTGACACGGTGGCACAGTGGCACGACGACACGGCAGGTGTGACCTGGTGAAGGTTCTCACTCTTCTCTGTCTGTTACAGCAAGTACCAAGAACAGTGCTGGGAAGTCCAGGGAGGAGCTGGCTCTGGAGAAGCAGCTGGAGCTGGAGAGACGGCTGATGGACGTCAGTGGTCAGCTCAACTCTGGGAAGAAGCCCGTGAAGACCAAACGTGAGTCAGAGCAGAGTCAGAGTCAGATCTGTGACCAAGGGGTTAACATTTCTAATCTTTTTTTTTTTTCCCTCCAGCAGAGAAACCAGCTGCTGAGACTCACACTCAGCCGTCACGTCTCAGCGCCAGCAGCTCCTCCTCGGCCTCTTCCTCTTCATCTTCCTCCTCCTCTTCTTCGGATACCAGTGACTCCGACTCTGGTTGAGAACTTCTGGACCGGAGTCTGGTCAAGACCGACCGACAGAAGCAGAACTGGTCCGACTCAAACTGGCCCCAGGACCTAGAAAGGAAGTGGTCTGTGACCTGGGCTAAGATCATCCATCCAGTCCTGGACGCACTGACCTCAGACCAGATCCACGGATGGATGACTTGTCATCAGGCCCCGCCCACTTCTCTGGTACAGCGGCTGTGAGGGATGCTCCGCCTCCTTCAGAAGACAGAGGGCAGTGTCATGTGATATGCCTGGGGGAGGGGTGGGGGGGGAGTAAAGGTGCTTGAGGCAGAATCCTGTTGACCTTCTGGATTTAAGTTTTCCTGTCCTGGCTGTGCTCCCTGTCCCGGTGATGTAGAGACACCTGGTGGACACCTGTAAATAAATAAATCTATTCTTTTCTTTTATAAAGAAGCATTTTGTGGAGCGAATGTTCCTGATTCTGGGAACGAGGAACTGGAGTTCATGTGTGTGAATGAGTATGTGTGTGTGTTTGGCACCAACAAATCCTTCACATCTACCTATGGTCTAAACAGTGTGAGAAGCAGTTAGCCACTAGGGGGCGATAACACGTGATAAAAATCAACAGTCAAACCAAAAACAGACATTTCAACTAAACTGTTTAAAAAAATTAAGCAAAAACTGATTTGGTTTTACAACTAGTGAAAAAAATTAAAAAGTGGTGACTGTAAAAGTAACAGTTGGCCACAAGAGGGCGTCAGCACAAATTTCAAAGAGTAAAGGAAGTAAAGCAAATTTTTACATAAAGATCACATTTTTACATAAAGGATGGAAATGACGTAACACATCTGTACCTGAACACACACACACACTCTTCATTCATCTCTGTTGTGTTGTTTTCCTCGTGATCATTGTTAATAAATCGTGAGGGAACATCCTGTCACTTCACCTGTGTCCAGACCCACCTCGTCTCCTCCGTCAACGCAAACGATCGCGTTCTGTTTTTATTTCATTTTTACTTTAACCGAATTTGGGTTTTTTTTTGCCACAACAGCTACAAACTAAATTTCGTTTTTTTAAACTGCTCTTTAAAGTTTAAGATGAATAGCTATCTCACCACGGTGAGGCGCTGTGGTTGGCGACATCAATGTGTTGCTTGGACAAGTTAGTTCGGTGTTTTTGAAATTCAGGATAAATGACAATAGTTTGGTAAAACGTTGGTGAAACTGCACTGTCTGTGGTCACTGGTGGAACTACAGAGATGAGTCGTGACTTCGACGCTTCGAAAACGCGTTTGTTCTTTTAAAATCTGTGGTTTGACGTTGGATTGTTTTATGTTAATTTATTTAGACAGAGTTTGTTGAAAGTAGTGAAAAATTTTAAGTGCACAGAGCATCATGGTGAGGAGGAGGGTGGGGGGGGGCGTAGACGTGTGAATATCTCAGTTTTTTTTCTTCTGTTTCTTCATCGACTCCAGGCCGTCTGTCACAGTCACTTCTTCTTTGTCATTTCAAATGTACATAAATAAAGTTGACGTTTGTCTTTTCACTAACGCTGTACGAGCTCCACATCTTTGTACTCTTCGACAGAGTTCGTTACTTTTAGTTACATCACCTTCATGTTATAGAATATTTATGTAAACACAGTCATTTATAGTCAGGCAGAATTCTATAAACTAGCAGAAATATGAATCGTCACTGACGACAAAAACGTGAATTTTATGGCACTTTATTTTTACTAAGTCCCTGAAGGACACGGGGAAATAAATAAATAAATAATAATAAATCATTAAACGTGAGTGGCGTTCACCTGAAATGGTTATTTCCCCGTTTTCGTAACCTAACAGTGCGAATCGTCAACGTTTCCCGACTTTATTCTTGTATAAATTCGATTTGTCATTTAATTGTCAGGCGTCATTTAAACCTATTACTAGGTTTATTTTTGAAAGCAATTCCCGGAAATGATTACATACATTTCCTATGTGCATCGGGGGAGCACAAATGAACCGGGAATTGCTTTCAAAATAAATCTAGGGCTTAAGTTTGCTCGTCACCACTTCCTGTTCCGGTTTGAAACTTTCAAAGTAGAAAGAAACAGTAAAACACGACACAACCGTCTCGTCTTGTTTCACAGGAACTTATTAACAACGACCAACGCCATCGTGCTCTAAGCTCTGCCTCCGTGTGGTCACACCAAGCAACTGCACCAGCGATTTAATATATGAATTTTACAAAACAATATACCACTCTACGGTAAGTAAGATGTTTACGAATTACGGTCGTCGTCACACAAACACAACGTTAAATGTTAGACCAGTGTTTAATAAAGTAGTCAAATACTTCACGAGAGAAAAATCGAAAACATTCTGTTGATTTCGTGACTGGGATGAGGACTCCACTACTAGCTACTCCGGCTAATGCATCCCAGAATTACACCTTATTTTCTGATCGGATTTGTTACAATAAAATGCGTAATAAACAAATAATGTTTCAGATTAAAAATGTTGATTTACATTTCAATCTCACGAACACACACACACACACACACAAAAAGTACAATGTAAAACAGTATAATACATTTCTGGTGACTTTGCGCCACTAAGTGGACAAACCTGGGACTGACACCAACTCTGACAGAAACCAACATGGCTGCGCCCACCAGACTGATGTCACGGCTCACGTTAGTCACCGGTGAGTTTACAGCCACATCAACGCAGTCCTGCTTCACGGTCCGACTTTGATAAGACTCCGTTTAGGCTGAAGTACGGCTAACCGGGTTTTAACCGATTAAACACTTTCAAACGTAACAACCACGTGTTTGTTTTCTACTCTCACAACTGTTTAGGGTTTACACTCGGGATTTAAACTGGTTTTAGTTCGGTTTTAAAAGTTGACACTTTACATTTGTTGATGTTCGTTGTGAACAAATTACTTTACGTAATTAACGTAAAGATTAGAAGATGAACATTTATACACGCCCCCCCCCCCAACCAGGAGGAGGCAGCGGGATTGGACGGGCCGTGTGTCAGCGGTTTGCCTCTGAGGGCGCCTCGGTGGTGGTCGCTGACATCAATGAGGAGTCAGCCAATGAGACGCTGGGAAGTCTTCAGCGTGACCTAAGAGGTCAAGGTCACATGACAGCAGTGGTGGACGTTACTTCAAAGGAGAGTGTGACGAAGCTGATCACCAGTATACAGGTGTGTGTGTGTGTGTGTGTGTGTGTGTGTTTCACTCTGGTTGATGAACAAACCAGTTTGACCAGGTTAGGCCACAGTCAGCTAAAGTTAGTTTGGAGCAGCGCCCCCTTGCATTGTCTCCAGGAATGACAGGACAGCTCTGTCTCCTCCTGCAGAGTCGCTACTTCCAGCCCCCGTCAGTGTGCGTCAACGCCGCGGGCATCACGCAGGACGACTTCCTGCTCAACATGTCGGAGGAGCAGTTCGACACAGTGGTCAGGGTCAACCTGAAGGTCGGCGTCTGAGTTTGTCCAGTCGTGGGAGTCGCCGCTCGGGACTCAACACCTGGGTTTTGTGTTTTTGTGGTCCAGGGTTCCTTCCTGGTCACTCAGGCCGTGGCTCAAGCTCTGGTGTCCTGTGGCTCAAACAAAGGCTCCATCATCACCGTGGGCAGCATCGTAGGAAAGGTGAGGAGTCACGGCGTCCGCGCTCCGTGTTTTTATAAAGATGTCGCTCAAACGTTGTTCCACGGTTACTGTGGAGAAGTTGTCCTCAGAGGACGCCGTGTCATTTCATGTTTGTGTGTCGTCAGGTGGGAAACCTGGGGCAGGTGAACTACGCCTCCTCCAAGGCTGGAGTCCAAGGTCTGAGCAGAACCGCAGCCAAGGAGCTGAGCAGGTGAGCAGAACCTGGACCAGAACCAGGAGGAGATGTGGACCGCTCAGAACCGTCCAAACAGAACGTTAACACACGCGTCTGTTGTTGTCTGTCGTTCAGGTTTGGGATCCGCTGTAACTGCGTTCTGCCGGGATTCATAACGACTCCGATGACGGACAAAGTTCCAGAGAAAGTTCTGACCAAGGTGAAGTCAGACGTTCAGATGGAAAACGTGTTTTAACGCGACCGCAGCCACGAAAACAAAAGTCGTTTCAGCTCAAAGACAGAAGTTCAGACGAAGTTACTGTGAGAATTGTTTATTTATGACCCCTGACCCCTGACCCCCCCGCCCTGTTTCCAGATGCAGAGCCTGGTACCGATGGGAAGAATGGGTCGTCCTGCAGGTGAGTCGACAGATGAAAACCTCATCACTTCATTTTTTTATGACATCATCAGTTCATGAAATGTGATGTCACCCCCCCAGAGGTCGCCGACGTCTGTGCCTTTCTGGCCTCAGATGACTCTGGTTACGTCACAGGAGCGAGCATCGAAGTCACAGGTGACATCATCGACCCCGACCTCCGTAAACCAATCCTATCGCAGGGACGCAGCAATTTAAACGTCAACACAATGTTTAACTGAGCCACAGTGGACATCCTTTCAACAACAGGGGGCGCTGCAGAAAACCAGCGCTTCAACCTGACCTTTGACTTAATTCCCTTTAAACCTTTGAATATCGTCTGACTCATCGTAGACTCAAATTAAGATCAGATTATTTAAACTCACATTGGTCACGTGACCTTTAACTAAGTTTAACCCCGTGTGTCTTGAACCAAACTAACTGATATTATTTCACCCTCAGGTGGACTCTTCATGGGCTGATCTACCAAGGCATGTTTTGGGTGATTTTTCAAATAGTCAAACGAAATTCTTTTTGGAGTTTAAAACACAAAATATTCACCTGGCAGCATGTTTTAGGACCTAGTCTTGCATTTTAAGGCATTTCGGGGACTTTTTATTTTTTTGGATTTTTTCACGATGGTAAGGCTATAGTAAGGCATGTTTTGGGTGATTTTTCAAATATTCAAATAAAATACTTTTTGGAGTTTAAAACACAAAATATTCAAAATATTTAAACTCCAAAAAGTATTTTATTTGAATATTTGAAAAATCA